TTCTGTTTTTTCCACATAGAATTAGGAAAAGTTTTAAAATTATTTTAATAAAAATGATAATATTAAATTTGTATGAGAAAAAAAATAATTAAAATGTTAGAGTTAACATAGAAAATATTTTTATAAAAATAATAATATTAAATTGTATAAAAAACTAATTAAGAAAATTATAATGTTATTATCATGTTTTTTTTGTCAAAGAAACCGCCAAAATGAAGCCAGATTGTTTATAAATAAACAGGAATAAAAATTGATGCGCAGTGATTTGAAAAAAGAGAGGCTCCAAATTGATGTTATAATGGTTTAAATTTTCCATAGCAAAATTTTACAGGATTGGATCAGCTTTGATATTGTCAAAAACCAGCCAAATGTGAATTGAAAATGGTTACAGTTTGATTGGATAGTGACTCCTGAACTTTTAAGTAATGGGGACAAAAAGTATATGCCACCTAAGGAGTTGGTTTATGAGCAGGTTTGAAGCCACCCATTTGTTATATAGGGGAGGAAATTTTAACTGCAAGGTCAGAAGAAAATAGACCATACTTGAGTGAAAAGATGTCATTGTGCAAAAAGGATGGACTGTACCATACGTATAGAGCTACTACTGTTGAAAGTAATAACTGTATCTTGCATGTAAAGTCAGTTATCTTGAAGAAAGGATTTGATCACCCGGGCAAGTACACCTGAGATGATAAAAGGCTACTACTACTACTTTTGCTGTTGAAGTTATCGAAGCCCCTTCGCTACTCCGTTCACATGATCAAGGTCAAATATTATATATCTTCATGACCTTGCCCTTTTTTTTCATTGTGCCACCCTACATTCATCTATCCAGTTAACAAGTCTATTTACATTTATAATCAATCTAATTTTTCTTTAGTTGCTTGATTATTTCTAATATAATCTACATACTCTTAGAAAACATTCTATAATACCTTTTATATTTCATAATAACTTGGAGTTTATTTTCTTTAAATTTTAGGTACTTAGCAAGCCCTGAAGTTGTTATTATATGCCTTTACCATATACACTCATGGTTTTTCACCACTACTGGAGGAAGAGAGAGGAGGCGAAATGCAGGCACCCTGGTCTTTGCAACCAGGAGCCTGGATGGATTATGTATTGTTATATGCCCTTTTATTTTTGTCTGCCAACTGGTTGGGCTTTCCTGTCCATTCTTACTAATGGCACTTTATTATTTATTATTTCCAACTACCTCAGACTCTTACTTCTGGCGTTCCTGGCCTTTATTGCTTCTCTCTAACACTGACCTTATCTTCCAGCATTCCTGGCCTTTGCTACTTACAGGTACCATGGACCCTTATCTAGGCCTTTATTACTTCCAGCCCATACCTCAACCTAACTCCCCTGGTTGAATTGCATTGATGGACCTGCTTGTAACAGCCCTGAACTTCTGGTTATGCATTGGTCCCTATTTCCAGTATTTCTACCTCAACTTAATTCACCTTGTTGATCGGTGTTAATAGACTTGCTTACAACAGCCCTGAACTTCCGGCTACACACTGGTTCCTACTTCTGGCATCTCTATCTCAACCTAACTCACCTGGTTGATTGACATTAATGGACCTGCTTACAACAGCCCTGAACTTCCAGCTACACATTAGTCCCTACTTCTGTCATCTCTCTTGCAACCTAACTTACCTGGTTGATCGCATTAATGGACCTGCTTACAATAGCTCTGAACTTTCTGCTACACATAGGTTCCTACTTCTGCCTTTCCTGACAACCTAACTTACCTGTTTTAGCAAGTTGCTGCATGCATAATGCCCAGGCTTCAAACAACATACTCCATACACTTGGTTTAAATACTACCGAAGGTTCACCATTTGATTTAACCAGCAACCACTCAATGCCAGTACCAGACATTTAAATTGAACTTACTTCCTCTTTGACTATATCATCCAGACTCAAACAACCTATTCTGTACACTTTGGTTAAATACTACAGAAGGTTCTTCATTGGATTTAACCAGCAACTATTCAACACTTTCACTAGACATTTGAACTGAACTTTCAAACTGTCTTACATGCCAACTTACCTGGACTCTACCTTTAACATAGTTATAGTTATATTAGTTAGGTTCTTCTCGGTCAGTATCCTTTCATTTACTTAATCCTGCCTCCATTACTTGATTCATTATTTGTTCTTATTCCTTAAATTCAAATACTACTTTTGTATACGATGTAAATAAATTTTATATTAATTTTAAGTTTGTTGTTTGTTGTCTTCTTGTTGATTCACGTCTTTTCTTTTAAAAATGTTAGTGGGCCTCTTGGGACTCATATTTATTGGGGGCACACAGGACATTTTTATATCATACCCCCTCCAGGGAGTCCACTATGAAGTAAAAGAAACTTCTACATTTGATGTGTGAATGTTTTTTCTAAATATACATGCTTCATCTCATATATGAATGACTTTTATAAACTTATGAGTTTATCTCATTTAAATGTCTTATAAACCTGTGATTTATCTCAAATTTGAGAACACATGCTCCAAAAATCTGAATATTTGCCAAAATGAACCAGGAAATCAGCTTCATCCGAAGTAAGCAAAACAGTCTTAAAATTAATTAAACTTTTAACCTTTGAACATGTGACATTTTGAATTGTGAACTTTTTGAAGTAATAAATTTCTTATTTTCTTTTGCTAAGAAATTGATTTATATGAATTGTTACCCTAAAAGAAAGTTAAAATTCTTTTGTTTTTAAGGAAAACAGTTGTTAGGTAAAACAATGTTTTCCTTAACAACAAAGGAATTTGAACAACTTTCTTTTAGAACAACAGTTCATTATAAATCAATTTGTGTTGTTTTCTAAAAGACAATATGTATAGGGTATTCCAAAAGTCTTGGGAACATTTCAACATTGAATATCTCAAAAACTATTAAGGGTATAAAAATGCACCTGACATATTCTGAAAGAATTTAATCTCAAGTTTTACATGGAATATTCAAAGATGTTCAATGTGAGCACAGTTGGTCACATGGCACACATCAAGCCGATAATCCAATTCATACCAAATGTGTTCCAGCATTGCGTTGTCGATTGTTACAACAGTTTCCGTTATTCGGATCTTCAGTTCATCCACATCTCTTGGAAGGGGAGGCGCATAGACCAGTCCTTTTACAAACCCTCACAAAAAGAAATTGCAGGGTGTGAGATCTGGAGACCTGGGAAATGCACGTTGAACAAGTGTCCATGATTCAGTTTTTGCAAATTCAAGGAATCAAAACGCTTTTTCTGGTTGAGTGAACGCCATTATTAGATCTAAAAAAAATATGAAAAAATCATTAGCATTACAAAAACCTTAATGAATTTAGCTTTAAAATGGTACCAGTTTCATCTTACTACCGTTCATAGTTCAGCAGATATGAGGACTTGAAATTTACCCAAGATTTCTGAAACACCCTGTATTTTGAAAGAATTGTTAACCTGCCTGTATAGTTTCAGGCATACAAGGGAAATTATGTACATGGCCTATATTGTAAGTTGTACAATTTGTACATTGTAAAAATATTTTGTCATTCTGTTAAATATTTGTTTCTTTACAAATTTTACTTTAAGAGTCTTGTCTTTTACAGTAAACACTTCTAAATTAAAAGGAAGATGACATTCGAAAGTCTTCTTTGAAAACCTCCATTTCCTGCCTCTCTTCTTTTCTTCATCTTTTTTTTAAATGCAGAACGGAAAGAAAGTGTTAAAGGAAGAAAGAGGAAGAAAAAAAGGCCAAAAAAACTAAAGAAAGCGAAAAGAAAATCAGTTAAAAAAAACCGTAAAAGAAATAGAGGGAAATGATACAGAGAATAGAAAAAGAAACATTTCCTTTGTTTGTCCTTTTGATGTGTGAAGCTTTAATTTATTTAATAGCTTTTCTTTTGAAGCGTGTTGTAAGCATTCAAGGAAAGTAGATAAATAATATTACTTTAAAAAAAATATTATCGCAAAAATAAGGTTAGTTTTTCATGGTTAAAAAGCGGCTAAACGTCATGTGGGTGATGTTGACCTCACTAGAGACAGTTTGTGGGAGTATTTGTTTTAATGTTTTTTTGGCAAATATAAGTTAATGTGAAAAGAATTTATAGCACATGAAAATCATTTGTATTGATAAAAAAAAGCTGCTCAGAGTTCTACATTGCCAAAAAAAAGTGAACCTCTTGCTTTGTGATGACTGCAGTTATTTTTTTTAAATTATCATTCTTGACACGTCAGACGAGTTGCCAAAACCAACACTTAAACTTTATCGAGCTACCTTCGACATTTACCTGGATCACGATCATTTATTTATTCACATCAAAAGAATCGAAAGCATAAAAACGTGTATTTTAGAAAGAAGAAAGAAAGAAAAAAAAATTCGCTGTTTCACAGTTTTAAACGAAGAGGACAGAACCATTTCAACAAATTTAGCAGGGGTGGCAGGTTGTGTAGCATTTAAATTCCTCGCGGTGTAAAGGGAAATATAACCCTCTCATTAAGAAATAAAGTTAATTCCATTATACACACATGTCTAAGATTTATTCACCCCGATGTCTAAAAAGAAAAATAATCTCATCTTAGCTTGAATATTAACATACACCCCGAAACATGTGGACAATAGAGTTGTGAAGGCACACGGAAAAATGTCATAGGTCTCTCGCCTTTTCTTTGCTGGCACTTAATTTCATAAATCCGTGGTAACCTGCCTCCGTTTAGCTATAAGATCGCTTTTTAATAAGCAACTAGTGGAGTCGACAGCAGATAGATTTGTATATTAATTCTTAAATCACTTATCAACACTTTAAATGCCATCGCCGAGTGCGTGTAGAGCGACTGCAAACAACCTCCGCAAAAGAAGCGATACAAAGTCATCATATAAGGGATCTGACATTTATTTATCTTTTCCTATTGTTCAAAGTTGGCTGGGTGTCGCTGGTCGCTAAACACTAGATAGGGACGAGGTCTTAAAAGTTTTTAAAAAGTTTCTTTGGTCATTGATCAGTCATGATGACTAGAACTACCAATTCCTTTGACTTTCTGCTTCTGCTAGTCTGCTTTGTTCTACAGATCACATTTTCTTCCTCTTCTCTACCAATTGATGCAAATGGGTACATCGTTTATTGTCCGTGTATGGGTAAGTAAATAATAAACAAAAACTAATATTTTTTTTTTAAGTGATTACTAATTACTTTGTTAAGATTAAACACGGAAACAAAATAATTCAAATTATTCTCTTTTTATGTTTTTATTTTGTAGCAGTAACGTGTTGTTAGTTCTCCCTCTCAGTTTAATTTCTTTTCTAAATATTACTATTTATTTTTCTTGTTCTTAAAAAGAGTTATTTAAACTCGAGTTGACTAACTGGAATCCACTGTTTGTTTTAGAAACTTTAAAATTGAAAATAACCTCCTTAAAAAATCGTCCAAGTAAAAAGTACCGCATAAGAAGTTTATTTTTAAAAAATGTTATATTTAGATTAAAAACAAATAAAAAGAAGAAAACAACTCTAAAACTACTTTTTTTTTTTTTAAAGTTCATTGTCACCTATTGAATTAAAACAATTTCCTTTTCTTTTTTCCCCACTTATTTTATTTTGAAATTGCCAGGAAGTTGAAAATTGACTTAGAAACTTGAAGTTGAATGTATTTGTTTTGTAGTTTTGTGGACTTGTCCTTTCTCGATCAGGAACCAAAAAAAGGAAAACTACTTTTTATTTTTCCTCTGTCTTCAACGATTAAAAAAAATGTAGCATTGGTAAACTTAAAAATCGGATAAAGTTTTCAAATTAATTCTTTTCATTATTTCACATTGTTAATTGCTTTGACTATTAAACACTTTTTTTTTCTTTTTTTTTTTTTTTTGCGCCTTTTTACCAACTGAAACAGACACATTGTGCTAAAAACAAGAAAAAAACGAAAATTAGTCCAAATAATTCTTAAAATAAATAAAAAAAACGAAACGTGTATGTCACTACTAGTTGTTAGTCGTTAACCGTTATCTTGATAATTTATTTGTCTCGGTAAAAAGTAGTTATAACTCCTTGTATTTTACTGAGATTAATTAGTTGCTTTATCACAACTCTGGTCGTTATTGCACTCTACAACCACTTTATTTTTCATTTTAAGCAACATATCAGAAACCCCACTGGCAAACAAGGAATATATAAATTAAGATTAAAAAAAATGAAAAAAGTAATTAAAAACGCTTTGGTTTTTAAACATTGTTGACGATAAAATTTTATTGTTCGTGACTTTTTTTCATCACGGTAAGCTCTTTTTTCAGCGAATTAGTGGAGGTACCTTAGTTTGGTTAAAATTTTAGATGTTAATTTTTTTTTTTTTTTTTTTTTTTAAAATTATTCTATTCCTTATAACGAATTGAATTTTTAAATCCTGTTTGGTTGTTGTGCATCACTCTACAAAATCACAACTAAAACAATGAAAATCTTTTCCACCTTGGAGAAATTTTTATTTAATTTACCTCAAGTAGGTAACTTTTTTTTCTTTAGTACCCAGAAGGAAATCATAATCAAATGGTATTCTCAACTTTATGAACTGTTCGTTAAGGTTTTTTTTACGCTCTTTGAATAAGTGTTGTTCTTCAGAGCTTAAATTCTTCTTCTTAAATGTTTGGATTTCAAGTTTGTATTTTCAAATTAAAATAAGATTTTCCCGTCCTTTGTCTTGCTAAAAGAAAAGTGGATACCAAGTTCCACGTAACATTATTTATCATTATTTTAAAGTTTAAAACTCCTAAAGTAATGTTTCATTTTTAAAAATTACAAGTTTTATGTTTTTGTTACAGAGGGTGGGGACTTAACTTTTAAAACGTTCTTAAACTGTCTTTAAACTCTGTCATTTCATTTTCATTACACTAGTTTTCTTTTCTATATATAGTCCCTCTTATTTTTAAACTTTTTAGATCCATATGGGATAACATACAAATTATGAACGAAGCCTTCAAGCATCTGGTTTCATTTTTGACATTTTTTGTTTTTATTTCTTTTAGGAAAAGTTTTTATATTGTGGTTATAAATTAATTCTCTCCACTCTTTTTGCAAGCCAAAAACTGGATTTAGACTTGAAGTGTGTGTACCTATAACAATTTAGGTTTCCGGGTTTATTTAAGAAAAAAAAAATTCTGCTTCTCTTCTGTGTACTGTACTGTAAACAAAAACTAAAAAAGGTCATCTACTTCTTAATTTGACAGATTTTTGTCTTTTAATTGCAGATTGTCATTGGTTTGCTACTGCGTACAGGAAAATTTAACTTCTCATTGTTCATTTCTCTGCTTTTTAAATAAAGTAATAAATCAACTATTCAAATTTACAAATATTACATTCTACAAAATAATTTTTGTTTACTATAATTTCCCCATAGATGTTTTAAGATTTTATATTTATTTCATTATCTATCTCCCCTCCCCCGCAATCCAACTCAGTTACTTTTCAGTTTAACTCAAGAGTACAATTCAAAATGAATGATCTTTATTTCTTGGAGTATATATTTTTTCATGGGTCCCCTCCGCCATTTAAAATTACGTCAGACTAAGCTAAGTGGAAAATAACTATTTATTCGAAAATTATAACAAATACATTATAAAATCACTACAAAAATAGTCATTTTGTTTCAACACTTCTGGTGTCTTATCAAGTAATGGTGTTGAATGTAGAATAACCCTTTATTCTACATTCAACACCATCACTTGATAAGACACCAGAAGTGTTGAAACAAAATGACTATTTTTGTAGTGATTTTATAATGTATTTGTTATTTTCGAATAAATAATTATATTTGCTCTACTCTGTATTAAGCACTCTTTTAAGAATAGTATTTCTTGGTTATTGGAATTTATTCTGTATACACCAATCCTATACTTGGGGGGATATATATATATATATATATATATATATATATATAAATGTGTGTTGACTTCCACTTTAGCCTGAAGAATATTTATGAGCATTCTTAAATTTAAAAATTCTGAAAAACTAACAATATTTTTACTTCTATTTATAAATACTTGTTGCAAATTAAAATCCTTACATTTGCCTTGATAAAGTCCGTCAGAAGACAAAACACCTTTGTTTTTATTTACACACACACACACACACACACACATGCCTTTTATTTCAATTTAGTCTCACACCTGACATTCCATGTGAGGTTGGTGTACCTGTATTGAAAATCAATGTTGAGATATTAACCATCAAACACACATGAGCTAGTTGGTTAGATTTCAAACCTAACCAACTAGCTCATGTGTGTTTGATTGCTAAGGTATTTATACATCTCTATCTCAAATGTCTTCATGAAAGACTACAATACAACAATCTATCTTGCCTGACAATTGGTGTACATCCATGTACTTACAAAATTTGCATTATCTACTTGGTACATCAGTTCATTTTGATGTTGGGATTTATGCCCAAACTTATATACAAGAAGAGTTTTTGTTGCTAGTTGTGTTGTTGTTCTTCTGACATTTATTATGTACCTCTCCTCTAAAATGATTGATACTCAATCAGGAAAAATCCATGGGACAATAGCCTAGTGGATTAAAGCATTGGTTTGTAAATTTGGTGACAGTAATTGTGAGATCAATCCCTGGGCTGGGCAGTATCAGCAATAACTGAGCAGTGCTAAAAATAAGAATTAGATGTGATATCCCTAGATATGGGCATTGGAATGAGAATAGTTTAGATTAAATAGAGGGTTCAGTTTAGAATTCGTTATAGGTTACTCAGCTATGCCCCCTGATGAATGCTAGAGTGCACAACAACCAAAATGTGATAACAGCAAAGATGTGGACAGTAATCCGCATGTATATAGTGTAAATAATGAGAAACTGATTTAATTTTTTTTTCTTTTTTATGAAATATATATTGTGTGTAAGTGCATACATTATTTAAAATTGTGTCATCAAAATGTTATTTAATCGCATATGTCTCCTTAACTTGGCCAACTTGGCTTCTTGTTTAATGGGCATTTTTGAAAATCAAATTCATAATTATTTTCATTTCTAGTTTGGTCTTTTTTGATCTTTAAGTAAACAATTATTGCTTGGTTATTCAAATAAAGCCATTTTCTCCTCCTGAAATTGGTAATGGTATTTACCCTTTTAGATCATAGTTTGGCTCTATAATAAGGCCAAATAAGTACTTTTGAGATTTTGTTTTTATTTTGTTATATTTTGAAAATGTGACACATCTAAAACCTTTTTTAAATGTTTGTTTTATATATTTTAAAGTATTGTTAATAAAATAGTAATCTGTTATTGTTTATTTGGTTTTATTAACTTTCTCTGAAATAAAAGTTTTAATTAAAAAGAAAAATCTTTTTTACTTATTTTAAAATAAATTAAATACAAGCTTTAAAACTGGATTCATAAAATATTCTGAAATGTAAAAACGGACCCTAATGACAAACCTGATGAATCAAAAAAAAATATTATCCTACAAACTCTATTACATCTGCAATCGAAAAGAATAAAATTTGTTACTACTACATTCAAAACAAAAGATTTAGTCAGTACTGAACAATAAGCTCAAACCTGAAGGAAGAATTCACTCCATTGCTTGTAATAATTGTCACAAAAAATACATAGGAGAAACCTCAAGGAATCTAAATAAGATTATTTGAGCACAAGAGACATTTTACAAAACAATACATCAAATGCATTGGTTTCCCACTGTAATGAGACTGACCACAATTTTGACATAAAAAAATGGTACTCTGATCAAAGGAGAAAACCATTCACTGCAATGTAAATGTCTAGAGTGCCTTCCTTGATCACAAGGTCATCCACAGTAAATTTGCACCTTGGCTCTTACATTTCACCATTCCTGGCAGATCTTCTATTATCATAGTGTGGGAAACCTACTAACAAAAATAAGACTCTCAATGAATTCAGCCATATACAAAAAAATTCTAAAATCACCAGCACCCCTTGTTTGTGCGCATGTGTAGTTGTACCAATATAACAAATAAAATCCTGAAGGATGAATGTGTCACAAGTAAACTTTTTCCACTTTGTCATACATTTTCCGCAATATTGTTGGAGTATTTGCAATTTGAATAAATTAGATTTTCTATTTGGACAACTCTGCTATTGAAAATATCTGTCTCTGTAATT